GAAAAGCCGGCAACAAGTCTAGTCAATTCCATTTCCACCCATTATTATTATTATTATTATTATTATTATTATTATTATTATTATATTATACTATATTATATTATTTAACTGTTTGTAACCCCACCTCCAACCCCAAGGAATCCCATGAACGGATTTGATGCCTATTTATGTCCATTTACCTTTAAAACACAAATGTCAATTTACCTTTTCTTCCTTTTTACTTTATATTTTCTTGTAAAATGTATCTCAAATTAAGATTTTTTTGGGAAATATAAAACTCTTTTTCTGGCTATATTAAAAAAAGCCTTAAAAGTTCCTATAAAAAAGACTTCAAAAAACATTTTTTTTAATTATTATTTTGTTAAAATATAAACAACTTTACGATTTATTTTGGGAATAAACAGTAATAATATCTTAAGTTAAACATATGAGAGAGAGAGAGGATCAATGTAGAACTATGAGAAATTCATAGAACCATACAACTTATGTTTTAACCTTAGATTATCAATCAATAGTTTATATTAAAAGGATGTATCGTATAATTATAATATATCCTTCTACATAGAATCGAATACATCAAATGGTAAAATGGAGATTTAGTACGTACAAATTATTAAATAAAATCAATTTTAAAAAACATATTGTTATTTTTTGTTTTTATCTCATATTTTTTTAGATGTTCCTAAATTCATCCCTAAAATCAAAAATAAATGGGACCGGCTAATAAAAAACAATCCAACTCCATCGTTCCGCTCTCTCTATCTACTCCCTCTCGTATCCTTCATCCTCGTAATTGTCTCTCCGACGAGATCGATCTTCGGCTACAACAAAAGACACAACAAGCCTACCATCCCTACCATTCTCTTAATCTTTCTTTGTTCATCTCGTTTCAAACCCTAGCCCTAGCTAACTTGTGAGGTTGGCCCTTCAACCCTTCTGCACCTATACTGTCACACCTCCAAACCGGAACGACAGAAACGTTCGGGGGCGGATGACTTCATGTGGTAACGTAACAAATGAATACATAGTAAAGAAAACAATACAACCATATATATATATATATATATATATATATATATATATATATATATATATATATATATATAATTGAAAGTTTACATTGTTTAAAAGAGTGCATGTTCAAAACCAATTACAATATGATGCCAAAATATGAATTTAAACTAGTGTCGCAGCGTTCCTTCTTCAAAAGCTATTTAGTACCTGTAATTATTGAGTCCCTGGGACATACAAGTAGTTTTGAAAGAGTAGATCAACATTTAAGTTGGTGAGTTTCATAAGCATTTACTGATAGTATTTGTATGAAAATGAAATGGTTCGTTTTTTTTTGTTAGTCTCTAGAAAATCCCATATTTCCAACTAGTATAAACGTAGCTTTAAATGAAGAACAATATATGTTAAAAAGTTGATGTTTTCCCATCTATGAGTAGTGGTTTGAAGTTCCAAAGTTATATCACAATTGGGTTTTTCATGCATAAAATAAATGAATTTATGTACGTATAAAACGTCCATTATATCTGAAAACCCCCGTAAATCAATGTGTTTTTAATACTCTATGTGAGGTTTATAAACATGCTATTGACAAGGAATACCTATACACAACATTCTTCAGGCGTTGGAATGTTCTGATGTTTGTCACTCCAAATGGTGTACTGTAGCTAACAGTCAGGGTGCAGGGTTGTCAATCCCGTATAGATCTATACACAAACACCATGCTCCCCCTCCAAGGGATTCTGGCATATAATACAGGACTTGAAATGTGTAATCGAGCGTACGTGAAGTTTAATGTCTCACAAAACTTAGTATAAAACAGATTTACGTGTGAAAATGTTCGTTTGTTATTTTATATGAAAGTAGCTTCTTGAAATAGTATTTCCATGTATGTAAAAGTTCGTAGTATTCTCGTAAAACTATACCTATTATAGTTTCCTAAAAGTTTGTTTCGTTTGTATAATAAACCCTAGTGAAAATGTTCATTGGTTATGAAAAGTATAGTTTTTGTTGTGTCAAAACCGACACACATAAATATAGTATAACCAGAGTGTCTGATTTACATAAATACATAAATAGTTTCTTATTCCAAAAGATAAAATGTTATCGTGGTATAATTTGCATATGAAAGTTTCCCTATAATTGTTATAAATCACATATGATTTCGTTGATAAAACGCGTATAGTGAAACTTTATATAACACACAATCATAATCGAGTGTTTTACTTGTATTCCTCCCCCCCCCCCCCCCAAAAGCATATAAAAGTACTCAAAAAATGTTTAAAAGTGTGAATTATAGGGGTATGAACTCACTTGAAAGATCCGAGGAGGCGGGATGAAAACCGGAATATTTTTGACTCGAGAAAGCGGATTTTCTCGGGATTCTCGGGAATCACGGGAGCACAAACGACCCTTGGGACTTGAGCAATGTGACCGCGACTTCGGGATAGCACGGGCACGGAAAACGAGGCAAAAACGCAAAAGAAATGAGAGAGAAAGGCCCTTTTCTTCGGAACCCTCGCATCCTTTTTATAGGGAGTGTGAACCGCCTCCGTACGTGGGGCGTACCCGTGCGTCACGCATGCGCGCATCCTCGACTGCCTCGGACCTCCGGATGGGACTGGACGTGGCTTCGCATAGGGTACGACGTGGACGATCCGAGGCCAAGGCCTCGAGTACGTTGGGCGTACCCGTGTACGCTGGGCGTACTCGCGTGACTCAGCCTTCGGATAATACCGAAGTTTTCATTAAAATTTATATATTTATTATTTAATAAACTTCAAAAATTCATATCCTCTTCATACGAACTCCGTTTTCGACGTTCTTTATATCCACGCGTAGGTGAGACTATACTCTACAACTTTCGTTTAGATTTCGTCGGCAAATTTTGAAATTATTTTTATTATTTATTTTTAAAAGGTCGCGGTAAGAAAATTTCTTTAAAAATTCATAACTTTATTATCTGACGTCTGTTTTTGCCAGAGTTTTTACCGTTGAAAAACCATTGTCGAGACCTTCGATTCTCATTTACGTCATTCTGGTCAAAATTTGCTCGATCTCTGTTTCGAGTTTTTAGTTGTCCGTTGCTAAGCCGAACTTGGAAAATTCATAACTTTCTTATACGAAGTCAGATTTGGGTAACATAATAAGTAATTTAATTAGTGATTTTTGGATATTTTATTTTCGAAGTTAATTTCATTATAACGAACGTGGTTACAATACTTGACTTTTTAGGTTATTTACATATAGTTGAAATATCGGGTTGTCACATATACTGATACTGTTGAGGTATATTCGATTTTGAAAACTAAAATCATGATATTAATGTTGTTAATTATGAGATGTTTCATGAGGACGTTGGGTGAAACTTATGTTATATATTGTTATGATATGAATCTGGCTCGATTCTTGCTCCGTGAGGGATAGAAAGAAGGGCCCATAGAATCACAGCAAACGAAATAAGACCATCATTCGCCGTCGGGGAGGTTATCCCGGAACGAAGTTCTGACGATCAAGTCAGTTTGAGGTTCTGATGAGAGGGTGTGAAAGTATGAGACAATGAGTTAAAGTTTAATGTTGGTCCCTTCTCTTAAGGGAGAAAAGACGCTTTTATATCTGCTTCTGATTGGTAGATCATGCTTCTTGCATAGCTGCCTACCATTGGTGCAAGGCTGTTTGGAGTGACGTTCTAAGTGGTACACCTATCACTCAGAGGGACGACGTGTACTATTTTGTCTCGACTCTAACTTTAACGCTTGGGCACCAAGGAATGAGTTTGGGATCGCAAGGACGAGGGCGAGAGTGGGGGCTCGGTGTTAGGCGCACCCGAGCCTTTGCTCAAACAGTCTGACGGTTCCGTTATTTATGATGGATTCTTGGTGGGATACGTTAAAAAGTCCCCTAGGCTAGTAGACATCAACGGTTGCTTAGGGTAGCTGAGTAATTCTAGCTTAGATATGGGCACACGTTTGGTGGGAACGGTCCCTGACGTATACTAGAGTCGTTTTTTCAAGACAACGTCGCTTCGTTCCATTTTTTCCTTCTTTTCTTTCTTCCTTTTTCTTTTTATTTAAGGGTTCTCTACTTTTAGAAGCAGTTATACACTTCCTCTTTCTGTAATCTGTCGTCCCATCCTCTATTGTCATTTCTTTCTTTTTTTTACCCATATTTTTTCTATGTGGTTCTTGATGGCCTCTGCTAGATCTGGAGTTGTTCCTATGCCCGAGGAGTTCGAGTCTCTTTGGTTTCGATTTGGGTTCATGCTTGAGCATGGAGTTCAATTCTCGTCGGAAGGATCTACCATATATCAACCACCGGCCGGGAAGGTGGGTATTCCGGTGGCGATCTTCGAGGTCGGGTTTTGGCTTTCTGTTTCTAGTCTCTTTGATGAGGTTATGCGAGAATACAGTTTCTCTATCCAGTACTTGACTTCGAACACTCTAAACAAGATGGTTGGGTTTAAATTAGGGTGTCGAGCACTGGGAGCGCTTCCCCATCTTCAACCATTCTAGTCTTTCTTCAGGTCGTCAACTCATTCGGGTGTTCACACTTTCTCTCAGCGTTGTAATACACATTCCTTTATTGTTAACCAGAAAACACCTCAGAAGAACTGGCATGATCGATAACTGTGGGTTAACAGTGACTTTGTTGGGGCTGGCTATCCTAGCGTGCCTATGGGTTCGAATCGGGCTCCCTAACTCTTGGGGTTCGGTCTGTCGGTGGCTCGCACGTTCTGAGGAATTTGTTTCAACGGTGAAGACTGGCCGGACTGTGTATTGGCAATGACGGTAAGTGACTAGGTGTTACCTTTTCCCCTCCCTATCTCCCCCTTTTTGCTTTCCTTTGCTTGGTAAATGGTATCAACTGCTGAGAAAAAGGGGGTTTTGCGTTGTTTGCTGTTGCAGGTAGCGAGCGGTATCTGTCTCTTGAGCAAATGTTGTCGGGGGGGTTTTGAGGGGGACCTATAGTATCACGAAGTCCCTTTAGTGGAGATGCTGCCAGTTCCCGCCATAGTTAGCCCTGTTTTTGAGCACGATGCCTCTCCTATCGAGGCGAGGTTTAAGGATCAAGTGTGGCTAGTGGTGAAGTTGTCTCCCGTTGTTGGTCTGCTGTTGTGGATTCCACCCACGAGGAAGATATCAGTGGTAGCTTTATCAGTCGATGATTGCGTCGGAAGCGCAACATTGATCCTTTGTTTTCTAAGTCCCCTATTGTTATCGAGATTGCTGATATTGACGACTTGCAAGCAGTGGAAACAATAGATTTGTGTCGGTCGGGGATCCAGGCATTATGGGTACTTACTCCATACCTCCCTCTGTTCCCGGTGATTCCCCGTCAGCAACGGATCCTTTGTCTTTGGATGCGACTGGCATGTATCTCCTTGGGTGGAGTCTTGCAACCAATTCCATTTTTTCAGAAACATGGACCTACCCATGAATGGTGCCAACATGCGTTTCCTCCAGCTACCCTGGAGGCGCTTGACGCTCTTTCTTATTCTCACATGGCGAATGATCTTCAATATGTCGTTGCTCAGGTTACTCCTTACTTGGTGGTGTCTGCTAGTCGTCTTCATTACATGGGGGCTGATTTGGTGGAGCTGGCTGCTGTTAAATCCGAGCATGATGAGCTTGCGGAGAAGGTTTGGCTTCTTGAAGAAGAGCGATGCAATTTTGATGAGCGCTACCTCGTGCTGTCAGGGGAAAAGATTGTTGCGGAAGCTCAGGTTACGAACCTAGATGGGGAGGTGGATCTCTTATTCCATCATGTTTAAAATTTGGTATCGGAGAAAGAAGCATTGGTGGAGCCTTGGCACTGTGAGATGATCAATTCACCTCTGAGGTCTCGAGGAGGAAAAGCTTGGAGGCTGATTTAGTGTGTATTCTCTAGAAGGGAGTGGTTCAGGTGGTGGATCGTGTTGTTGAGAACAGTGAATTCGTGCTTGGGATTCATTACGTCAAGGTCACGTGTGTGGCTGCTGGTGTAGAGAAGGGAAAACAGGTGGAACGCATGCAGTCGGTTGGTAGTACCCCTGGCTCGTCTGATCTGGACGTTGTGGCATAATCTATTGATACAATGCATGCTGCCATTAGGGCTTTTTCCGAGACGGATTTCGCGTCCTACCTCTGTTTAGGTGAGCTCGACCTTGTTGAGCTTCGCTAATTATGCTCTGAAGAGGAAAAACACGTGCCAGACGGTGGCGTTAGGGGTACTGATTCAACTCAACATCGCCAGGGTTAATTCACATTTTATCTTTGTATGTTTGTTGTTTTATCTCTCATTTTATGTACTGTGTAGAATGTTGTTGTATTCGATATTATTGTTTCCTCATCACTAATGTTTGCCCGTCCTTACGAGCTTATTTTTTATATATGTTTGGGGAGGGGTCTCCCCGAAGAGTATTTTGTAAGCCTTGCTTTTGGCTCTTAATTGAGCAGTCAATTGCCTCTCTTTTGTGGACGCTTAAGGTGAGCCGAGGTCGTCACCTCGCAACTCCTTGGACTCGTATGTGCCTAATTGTTAGGGAAGGTTATGATCCTTCAGACCCTTTGGGTATGTTTGGTTTATAATCTCGGAGGCTTTATTGCTTGTTCAAACTGATGTATACGTAGGGGGTCATACCTTTCTGAGGTTTCGTGGTTGTTGGGTTTTGTATACTACAACATCCTATGGTGTACATACAACCATGATGTTTTGGATCTATGTTTTCTCTAATTATATATGCAATGAAATATCCAAAGCATAAGCCTACAACTAGCATCTGATTTGATGCTTGAATAATAAAATATAGTAAGGATAATTACCTCTTTGTTGTAGCTTGATGTATTTGGCTTTTAAGAACTTAACACCTCAAATGGGATGCCTCAAATGGTTCACAACACACCCTTGAACAATTGGATGACTCAAGAGAGATTACTAGGCACACAAATCGATTATGAACTCCAAGAACACTTGTTGTAACTGATATTAGCCATGGGGTTATGTATATATATGTAGGAATCCAAAAGTCATGGGTAAACCCTAATCCATACACTTCGGGTTATGATCCATATTTCATGTGGGCTAACTCTTCATGGAAACTTACTTAAGCTTAGCCCATCATGGATCAATAGCCCAAACCATATTGAGAGAACCCCTTCTCTAAATTTTACAATATTATTACTCCAAACATGCTACATGCATATTCATAATATAATTTACAAAAGTGTGGATACAAACCAACTATTAAGATTTTTTACAAATTTTTATATATTACACAACTTCCCAGGAATTTATACACTAAGTACAAAAGTGATAATATTAACTATTCTACATCTTCCAATAGTACAATACTATACTGGATGCTTATCACCTGCAATAGTTAAACACTGAGAGGGATAAGCGGGTGACGCTTAGTGAGTTCAATAATAGTTACAATATAACACTATGCCATATATATATATATATATATATATATATATATATATATATATATATATATATATATATATATATATATGAAAAAAGAAAAGAGGGACAAAGAACAACAAAGGCATATGTATACCATATGACAGGCTTTCCATATCAACCAACGATTTGATTCAAAGATTTACAATCAACGAGATACAACAATTTCAACATAGTATGCATCAATAAGACTTCAGCCCAAGTGGCACAGGAAATAAGCTATTTCTGATTATCATTTTGCTAGAATATATAGGCTTTCATCCCTACCTAACCTGATGCCAATACCAAAAGTGATACGAGTCATGCTCTACATGACCAAAGGCACAATGCCAATGCTAGAAGTTATACGAGACCTGCTCTACATGGCCAAATGCATAAATCAAATACCAGAATAATACGAGACATGATCTACATGGACAAAGGCTCAAAGCTAATAACAAAAATGATATGAGACATGCTCTACATGATCAAAAGTATAAAACCAGAATAACTCAGGAAAGCACATTGAACATATAACACATAACATACAATTGGGCTCTATATTGAACTCACCGTAAAATAACTGAATGATAAAATGGTAATTTGGTCAGCACTTCATGTCTAAAAATGACTTTCTTTGACAAAACCGTGAGTTTTTGTTGAAAATCGGGCTTTATGCAGGCAGAGTTTCGACTGAAAATATTATTTTCTCGGGGTCTTCGGGTGCTCCGGTGCTTGCTTCGGGTGGTAGGGTAGTTCCATAGGCTGAGAGAGAGAGAGAGAGAGAGAGGAGGGGGGTTAGGAGAGTTTGAAGGATGAAAGAGAGTGAAAGAGTATGAAAATTGTAAACAAAATTCGGAAGGATCGCTTTCTATTTATAGTAGTCCGAAGACTCTCCGTACGCTGGGTGTAATTCCAATACGCGGGGCGTATTGTTTGGTGTGGCTCTATGCTAAGCGTAAATGCAGTATGCTGTGCTTAGAGTGATGTGTGGCGTCGCACATGTCTGCATGCGAAGGAAAGGCGACGTGGCTGATTCCAGGCCTTGCTTCCGAGTACGCTGGGTGTACTGCTTCGGATAAGCCTCGAAGTGTGTGCCTAAAACTTCAAAAATTCATATCTTTCGCATACGAGCTCTGTTTTTGACGTTCTTTATATCCACGCGTAGGTGAGATTATACTCTACAACTTTCGTTTAGACTCCGTTGGCTAATTTTCATTTTAATATTATATTTTTTTAACAGGTCAGAATAGGAATAGTCTGTTAAAAATTCATAACTTCTTCATCCGAAATCCGTTTTTGTCTCACTTTTTACATTATACTACTATTGAGGAGATCTTCGATTCTCGTTTAGTTTGTTTCAGCTAAAATTGCTCGATCTATAATTCGAATTTCGAGTTGTACAATGTTATGTCGAATCTTAGAAAAATCGTAACTTCTTCATATGAAGTCAGATTTGGACGTTCTTTTTATGAAAGTTCTCGGTTTAACGAATACTAAGACTTTCATTTAAATAACTAAAGCTAAAAAGTAGTTTATCATAAACTCACTTTTTACATCATACGGCGTCGTATCAGTTTTGTCGCGAAACTTTGATAAGTCATAACTTCTTCGTTATAACTCGGATTTTGATGAGGTTTTCACCTAAACATTTCTAATGAGATAATTTACAACTTTCAATAACATTAGTTTTACTTATATCCAACTTAAATGTTATATTTTCATTAATTTCGATAATTGACTTTTGATCAGAATCTCATAAGACTTCTCATCACTTCCAATACTTTCCGAATGATTCTAAACATAGTTTTAGTTTGAATCCCATAAGCTATCTTGTTAGAACTCAACGCTCAAAATCATATATTATTTAATAATATTCACTTTTAAGCTATCAAGCTTACAAAACACGATAATTATACAAGGTTATTAACGTATATGTTACAAATACATCCTCCTTTTGAGGATTTCGTCCCTGAAATCACAACGATTTAAACAAATGGGGATATTTCGCTCTTATCTCATTCTTATTTTCCCAAGTATAATTTGGGCCTCGATGGTGTTTCCACTTGACAAGCACCAACGCCACTTCTTTATTACATAGATCAACCGTTCTTTCGTTTACGATCTTTTTAGGTTCTTCTACATATCTTAATTTATTATCCAGTTTCACCTCGGATAACAGGATCGTTTCATCATATGCGCTTAAACTTTTATGCAAATAACTCACATGAAACACATCATGAATACCTGTCAAATCTTATGGAAATTCCAAACTTTTGTAAATCGCATGATGCCTTTCCATGGGGATACCTTCAGCATTAAAAAATCACCCACCTGGAATTCTATGGGTCGTCTCCTGTTTTCTGCATAGGACTTTTATTGATCATGGGCCGTTTTCAATCCTTCTCGTACAATTTGAATATTGCCAGTGGTATCTTGAATCATTTTAGGGCCTCCAATGATTTTCTGTCCTACATCACGCCAACATAATGGGGTACGATGTTTACCTCTATATAATGCTTCATATGGTGGCATTTTTATTGAAGTGTGGTAACTGTTATTATTTGACAATTTGACTAGAGGTAAGTACTTGTCCCAGTATCCAACAAATTCCAGGACACATGCACAAAGCATATATTCCACTAATTGGATTGTTCTCTCCGTCTAACCATCTGTCTGGGGATGATAAGCTATGCTGAGAGCAATCTGAGATCCCAATTCAAGTTGCATACTTGCCCAAAAATGAGAAGTGAAGCTAGTATCACGATTGGAAATAATCTTTAGTGGCACACCATGTCTTGCAACAATTTCATATAATTATATGTGTGCATATTTATCCATTGGAGTTGTTTCACGCATGGCAAGAAAATGTGCACTTTTAGTCAGTCGGTCAACAATTACCCAAATGCTATCATTCTGTCTCGCAGTCTTTGGCAATTTGGTAATAAAATCCATGGACAAATTGTAGTGACAAAGAACATGGTTTGACATGTGAAATTAAAGATTGCACAATTGAACATTGTGATTTGGGTGTTTAAGAGATGTATTGATTGTATATGGTGTTACAAAAAGGATCTAGATCTAGACTACATAAATAACACACAATTACACACTTAACTTTTACATCCCTCAAGCACACCTCTATAAGTGGACAATCCCACCTTATAGAGGTGTTTACATGTCTCTCTCTCACTTTCTATCTCTCATGTGTCAAAAGGCTAATACTCCATATGCAAGTGGGTTTTACAAAAGTCAAACATTTACAAAGTCAATCATGAATAACTTTGCACCCCAATATTCTCCCCCTCAAAGTTAGGAATGAATGACCCGCTTCAATTATTCCAAAGTCGAGCAACTACGCGGTTCGAGCCTCAAAGGTGACACATGTTGAAACGAACTTCAATCTTCAATTCTTCCATCATTCTTCAATTTGGGCTCTAGGATGTGAGACCATACAAACCGAGCAGCAACGAATGATTAACTCCAAATAATCACCCAAAAGTTGTGCATAAAAACACACCCTAAAAATCTTCAATAAAACCAAACCCATTTCGAATACATCACTTTCAAACTTCCAATTGCATCATCTCGTAAGCTTCAAAACTTCAAGATCACTTCGGTCTTCAAATTCAACTTCA